TTTGAGTTATGTGAAAAGACCAGCCTAGACTCTCATCCATGTACAAACCCAAGAACTTGCTGCTTTGTGAATTCGCTGACGTTAGTAATCCCGTTTTGTCGTAACAGGAGATTTGGCATAACTTTTCGCTTGCATATCGACTTTGATCGTTGCTGATTCTTTGTGCTATGTTACTTCTTATTGCCTGTTACTTTGTACCCAAATTAATTAAATGTTCGCCTCTATAGGGCCTGGCTCTTGTTAATTCTTGAACTAAATAATTGACATTCCTTTGATCAGAAAAGGACTGCAAAAGAGCTTGTTAGTTCTACAAATCGAGTCTTAATCGTACGGCTTATGAATAGAGAATGAAATACAAAATTATGATTTGTCATAAAGAAGACTAAAGTGTCTCTGAAGTGTTTCCGGATTCCGTGAGAACGGAACTATAGGTTTATCCAGAATTGGCTGTATCAGTGGGAAAGTGTGTTGGGCTGATGGCGCAACTTTCTTGCTCATTTTGCTTCCGAGAAATGAGCAAAAACCGGACAGAAAATATGAAATTTTGACTGAAAAATCTTGCACCTAAATGTCTTACATTCAAATTTCGCTTTCTGGGTCAGAACTACTCAAATTTTCTCACTCATCTTCAAATTCAAATTTATTAAACGGGAAAAAATCCATGGCGAATTATATAATGCGTATGAAAATATTAACATACAATAAAAATTCACATATGACAATAACAGATAAATAAATTACATGGGTACCTTCAGCTTTAGTTCGGACTTAAATGCTCCCAAAGGAAAGCTTCTCTATCCAACAATAAACGAATTCTGTGCCCCAAATTGTTTTTGAAAAACTTTCAACGAAAAACGCAGCGTCATGTTTGAGTCGATTTTGCAGCTCAAAAAAATACGCAAATGTAAAGCTTGTTGAAAACAAGACTTTTTGAGAAACTGTCATCATTTCTTTATCGATGGATTACCTTCAAAAAAGACCAGTTAGTTCTCTCTGGAACAATGTAAAAATAAGCGTTCTTTATCCGAAACAAAATGAGGAAAAACGGGACAAAAATATAAAATTTTGGCATAATCCTGCGCCTAAATTTTTGATATTGAAATTTCGGTTTCTGCATCAAAACTACTCCAATTTTCTCACACATTTTATGACTGAATTTTCAATTCTCTATTCAACAATGCGAAAACGAATTCTGTGGCTCAAATGGGGCCAGAGAAACTTCGAAAAAGGCAACATCATGCTACAGTCGATTTTGCAACTCAAAGAGAAAACACGCAAGTGTAAACCTTCTTGAAAACAATGCTTTTTAGAAAACTGCCAACATTTCCTTATCGATGGTTCACTTCTTAAAACGGTCATTTAATTCTCTCAGGCCTCCCAGCCAGATTAATTTTCGCGGCAAGTTCCTTGATCTCATCGGTTTGCGAATCTTGCACTTTTGCTCAAAGAAAACGCTTTATCGCTTTGTCCCCTCAAGTGGTGGATAAACCTAATCAAGTGTCTAGACAAAATTCTGCTGGACTTTCACCTATTGATTGAAGATATCGAGAAAGTTTTTGTGGAATTCTTCAAATTTATTGATAATGATTTAAAAGTTTCCTGCAGAGTACTAACAGCATATACTTTATACAACAGATATTTGTTTCCCGGTTAAAAGCGAAACGTCGATTAAACCGGCAGCGAGCGAAGTCTAAAGCAAAATTCTAAGCATACACCATAAATTTGGATGAAATGAAAGTCCTGCCACTGAGTACCAGACCTATTTCGGCTCAATGCATAAGAGTGTGTGTATAAAGTTTTCGAATAATATTTGATATGGGTATAAGAGCCGGGCTCCATTTGTTGAACGGCATTTCTATGATGCTTTTCCGATAAAACTCGGCAAACAACCGCCCCTTATGCTCGGCTTCTCTCGCAAAATTTATAAAGTTATTTACATTTAGTTCTCCTGCCGTTAAGTGTATTGATGCTGTGGAAATTGAGGTTCTCCTCAAGCGTCACAGCAGCAGGAATCATTCCTGCAAACGGTTCCAGTTTAACGGCGACGGCTTTTGTAATTAACCCAATTTCGCTTGTCATTTACGCGACTTATATCACCTTTATGAGGCCTGATTTTGGAACGGCTGTCTAATAATACATAGTTTCACATAAAAGTGTTACGGGAGATGCGAAGCTGCGGATACCAATAAGCAATAAAACTTTTATCATATTTTCTCACGTCTGTTAGGGGAGTAGCTGCTGTGTTCGCAAATTGCACCCAGCTTAGCTGCGACTAAATTTAAGTTTGGCATCAAAACACTCAAAAGAGCTGCTGTTATGCTGATTACCGACCATTGAGGAGTTAAGAAGAGACTGTCCCGAGGTCTGCTTCAGTTTTGAATAATTTGTGTAGATTTATGGTGTGTAAAAAATTGTCAGTTTGGTTGCAGGTAACTTTTGAAGAGCGCCACATCCTGAAGAGTCTTAAGGGTTAAGTTTAATTTTTTATTCATTGTGATTTAAAAGGTTCCTACTCAGTGCTAACGGCATATACTTTTTGGTTTCACGGTTAAAAGCGAAATGTTACACGCATAACCATAAATTTAGATGGAATGAAAGTATTTATTATGCAGGGTGATGGAAAATTTGCGTCATTCCTCTGGAGGCGTTGTCTGGCGGTGTTTTAGGAGTACAGAAAAAATAGTAAAAAAAATAAATTGTCATTAAAAACTGAGATATTTGCAAAAAACTATGTTAGAAAAACGGCAACAATGTTTTTCAAGATAACCAGCCTAATTAGCGCTAGGTAAATACCTGTTAATTATTTAAAACTCCGGTAACCATGGATAAAAAGAGAAAGTGACAATAAGATAGACAAGGATAAACGGTAAATTCAATAGAAATGGTTGAATGACGGAACCTATTTTGAAAGTCATAACCTCGAATTATTAATTACAAAAACATACATTTGAGTCTGCTCCAGCCAAGTGCCTGTGTAATCACCTTATTATACACTCTTCTCGAGCAGCTTCTCGTATTGGGTTAATTAACTCCTGCTCAATTTATACCGGTGTTCAGTAATCCATTGGTTTAATGTGATTTTACATGAGTGGTAGGAATGTAGCAGGTATTTATTTGGTGTCTGGGAAAGCGTCAGTTGTTGTGCAATGTTCGGTGTGGCCCTGAAAGGCCCTTCTGCAATTATATCCGATACTTGTTTGTCTGTGTCTGGAACCCGAAAATCTATTGCCGTCCACTATGTTCCTGGAACCACTATCCTCTTTTTAATTTTTTATTCTTAAATCTTATTATCTTAATCCGCGTAAGCCATTTGAGAACGCAGCCATTCTTCTCGGGTGGAATAGAGTTATGATTAAACTTTGAGGTCTGTTCGCTGGTCAGCCAGACAGCCATTAAACTGTCCACGACTTCCCCTGAAATTTGAACATCGAACAAAACTTTTCGTCTCCTACTTTGGCGTGTCCGCTTTTCTTTTTCCTTCAAAAACTCTTTTGTAGTTAGTAGTTGAATACATTTTGTCCCAAATCAAGCACTTTAATGGGTGTTTGAAAATTGTGAAAAGGTTGTGCTGTTGAAATGAGTTTGATGTTTTAAAGTCCACTTTGTATTAAGAAGATTGGAGCAAAAAAATGTGTACGTTCTTAAGAAAACTTAGCATTGTTAACAGCCAAAATCTCCAAACTGGTTTGGTTTGAAACGATTTCAGCCTGAGCCGGCGATTAAAAGACATCGAAGCTTGCAAACCAGAAGCATTTCAACTAAAGTAACATGCCACTTAACGGACAATTAAATCGTCAATTTCAGCAAATAAGATGTTGAGGCAAAGAAAACTTCAATGGAACCTTGGAGTCAGTTTCCCGCTAATCCGTTTTTTTTATCTAATTATGAAAGCACGAAGAGTTTGTGGAATGAACTGTGAGCTCAATTTGTCTTGATTTGCAAAGCATGCAAATATGAAACATAACTGTGGAAGACATGCGCTTAAATGTGAAGCCAATTATGCATTGCCTTGAGCAAAAAATTCTCTTGCATCTAGAACAACTTTGAGCAAATATTTGAACCAATTATTTCCATCATCAGTAATACCACAGCTCAGCTGGTAGTTCATAACTGAAAAATCCTAACAACTCAATTAGTGAATGTTTTTAACTGAAGGACGCTCTTAAGTAGAGTTGCATGAATCTACAGACAAAGTTAGAGAAATACTAACGTGCTCCGATTAGTTCTGGCGAAGTATTTAACATCTTGGGCCGACTAACTTGCCATATACACACATCAACTATTAATATATGAAACTTTCCACTAAATCTAGGGCAGCCACTGGGCGGCAACTTTGGATAGTTTAAACCTGCCGGATTAAGAAATGAGATGTTGGGCATTGAGATATGTCGTTGTCGAGAAGGCGAAGTCTCTGAGGTGAAAATTGCGAAATTACTAGGGAAGCTTCAATAACTATTAATAATAAAACTAGAGAAAATTCCCTGAAAAGTTCTGATGTATTATATGTTTCTGCTTCATCTCCTCTGGCCACTTTGCCTTTTTAGGCCTCATAGGTATCATTAGGCCTCTGACACTCATTTCTTCATTTATCTTCTGTGCCTGGAGGTAGCAATCGACTAAATGTTTTCCGCGTGTTTCTAAAGTTTTTCACATATTTCCATTCATATACTTCCAGAAAAGGCAAATTAGCACTGAACTTGCTTTTGGCAAACAAGAAAACACTTTTGCCATGAGAGCGGTTTTCGAGTGAAGCACATCAGGAATAGCAATTTTCGCAAAAGACACATTGCTGACCTAAGTTGAAAAGTAATTTTTCTCTTCTCATGCGCTCGCTTTAATTAAAGTCAATATTTGTCTGGTCGGCTGCTCAATATCATCTATTCGAGGGCCGTGGCGGAAATTCAGTGAATAGCCATGCTTGATCAAATAGTTTTTCTAGTTTTCAGCTAAACCAGCCTCTCTAGCATTGAAGAGTACATTTGCGATTCGTTTTGTTTCAGGTCCAGCGTTTTGGGGTTTGATCAATCCCGAATGGTCTTTGTGTAACAAAGGTAGGCGACAGTCTCCGGTCAATTTGGAGCCCAGCAAGCTGCTGTTTGACCCCAATTTGAGACAGTTGCACATTGATAAGCACAGGGTAAGAATTCGAATAGAAGATATTTTAAGTTTTACATATAGAAACGTGCAGTGAAAAGTCCAAGTGCGCCAAAGTGAGGGAACCTAGTCGATCAACGGCGATGGTTGACCTATATTTTCGTTTTCTGATTAATACCGGAAAAAAACACTTCAGGTCAGCAGATTTTAAAGTTTTTATCAGTGTATGCACGAAAAAAACATGTTCAGTCAACGCCACACGAGGAAAAACATGCAAAGTCGCGAATAATCACTGCCATAATAACGCTAATTATTTAGTTGTGTTTCTGGTTTTATCGTGCAAGCATGGATTGTTTCAGCAGTGACGAAGAAATCGTCAAAAAAGGGAAAAACTTAATAAAAAACGTAAAATTACCGGTCGTGTCAGCGGTATCTAAGAAAAAATTTCTTAAGGCGGGTCCTGACTGTAAAAAATTCAGTTCTCTAGGTTCCAGGGATGAACAAATTGCATATATTTCTTTTCTTGTAACAAGAAGGAGATTCGAACAAATTTACACTCAGTTTCGTAGCTGATCAGGTAGATTCAGCTTTTAACAGTCGTGGCACTATAAATTCTAACTAGGAAACATTCAGGAGCGGATATCATTGGGTTAAAAGGAACTCCTCCCTKTGCTTCTGCTCACTAGTGAACAGTTTCAATTGTTTAGGTCAGGTGATCGAGGTGGCCAATTTTTGCTCCACCTCTTCCAATTGATCTGTAGTCAATYGTTTTAKKTAATATTGGACTGAAATGAGGCGGATCCCTTCTATGGGCATGAATCATCTGTTTGGGAGAAATTCTCAATAAACTTAGGCTCTTAAACGGCGCGGCAGCACAAATCGGAACCAGCAAAAAATCGTMAAGCGCTTTAATTTGTTTTTCCCTCCCTCACTTAATACCGCGATAAGAATTGTCACGTAATTTAGGCATGGTTTCTTACACTGCCAATACGGTAATAAGATGAATTTGGTTGAGAATTACTGATAAACCACTTATAGAACATGTGATTCATAGCGCCGCCCGATTTGAGCCAAACACCACATGAAACGATTCAAAATCAGTCGATTAGAAAAGGAGGAGCCTTGGTCGAGCCCCTACGATCAATGCTCAATCAGGCTGTCCATCGACCTCCGCCCTAGGAAACAGCGAAAAATGGGTGTTTTATGGCATTTGCAGGCCTGACACCTAACGTAGGAGGGAACTAACTGAACATCCAATCAAAAAGCTGCCTCTCTTTCCTCTTTCCTCACAAATTTAATTGTGGACAATCGACACAAAGGACGAAAATTAGTAGAACGAGCGTGAAACCATGCAAGCACCTGATATGCTAAAGACACAGTTCTAATACCTTACTTTTCTGGATAATTCTCCTGAAGCGAAAAAGAGTGAAATGAGGGAGAATGCAATAGCAAAAGCCAGGGTGTTTCTTAAAAAAAACCATTAGTTTGGTTTGACACGAATTTTTGGAAACACTTTGCGTAACGGAAATAATTCTTTGAATGGCCACCATTGATTGTGTCAAAATAACACTCGTTAGCCATAATCTTCCACTTCCAGTCTTGGTTACACCACCCTGTAATTTCCTTGCTTTGCTTGTTTACGTGGCAAATTAGTCAAAAAAAAAACATTGTCTTCAATCATTTCATGTGCTTCATCTGGAAGATTTTTGACCTAGAAATGCATGACCTCATGTGCTCGCTGAACCAATTGGGCGTAATTTAACTGGTCGAGTTTATGAGAAATTCTGAATAAATTCAGCCGGGAATCCAGGGTCTTGATCTGGGGAGTTGTTCAAAGACAGAAGCAGCCATCATATTCTTAAGAAAACAGGGAAAGTATGCTTATCTGGAACTGTAGATGTGCAAAAATGCATGCAATGTACAAATCCATCCAGATAAACCAATATACTATTAAACATATGCACTATGTGGTTTTCCGAATTTAATATCGGTTTTGGATATCAGCGCTCGCATACCTGCAGCACTTGCGACCAATTTGCCGCCAAAAGCAAGTTTTTAAATTTAAAACTTGCACAAAGTGGATCAAGGAAATCGTGAAATACAAGGGAAATACTTGGGACAGTAAGGTTCCCAGGCAAAATTTATAAAAAGAGCGGATGTTTTTTACTGCACAAAATATCCGAAAAAAAATTCAATGCGACAATTTTTATGCATCTTTCCTGTTAGTTTGTAATTGCAAAATTACCTTCTTAGGATTTTCAAATTCTTGTTAACACCAGCGTTTGCCCGTAGTTCTTATTAGTAAAAATTCTCATCAACCAAACGGAACATCGAAATGCTATTTCCATCTGGTTTCCCATTATATAACACTTTCCAGAATAATTACCAGATAAATTGAACCATAGCAATCCGGCCACTGCAACACCAAATCAATGCAGTTTAACATGCTGCCGGAAATACTGAATATTGCAACTATATTAAGTGCAATTCCAAGTCAATCTGCTCACCAAGAAAAAACAATTTGCTGGCCGTGAATATAAACAACAATCGGTGAATGTGAAATGAACACAAGGTTAGCAATTCCACATATAAATCCAGCTCTACTGTTCAATTTTAATTCGACCAAAGGGCAAACAACCCGAGCTGACCGCTGAAAGTTTTAAGCAAATGTCCCTTATAATCACAATGGACGGGTGCTAAATCTCTCAGACGCGCAAGTGTTTAAAGTTTTACTAGTTGGTAAGTGGCTTACGATGCAGTTCTTATGGTAACTGTGATACTCCAACTAGTTAACATCCGTTGAATTGTTTAAGCGGTCTATGAACCATGCAAGGAGGTGAAGGTTTTGCTACAAAAATCCCGCTTGAAGTTGTGTTTTGATTGTAGCACAAATGTTTTTTGCCAGCAAAACTTTATTGAACTAATCGTTTTTATCACGAGAAGATTTTAAAGAAATGTTAAATGGTTTGCTTATGTCCCGGATTTCAACATTCTGATTTGGAGCCAACTAATCTTTTATACATACAGGGTGGTGCAATTAAGTCAAGGTGGAAGATTTTGGCCAACTGGTGCGTAATATAACCGTATCTTACAAAAAAGTCTTGCAATTTGCTGATTTACATAAAAGAGCTGACATACAAAACTATAAAACAACAATTTAAAACAATTGTTTTCAGCGAAAAAAAACCTCAATAGCAGATTTCCACAAAACAGGAAAATTAGTCATGCATTCAATATTTAGTCGCGTTTGTCGTTGCAAATATGGCAATTTGTCCGATACAAATTGATTTGTTTTAATAGATTTACCACTTAATGGCGGTTTACTTGTTAGATTGAATATGGAAAATTTTCCATCTCCACTCATGGACCATTAAATTGGGAATTTTAAGTCACAATTATTTTCCCTACATTGATAGATTTATATTTAACACTATCGACTGCAGATGTTGAAAACTAAGTAATAATTGAAAACTTAGCTAAATGAGTTTCCGCTTTTTCAAAAGGTCAAATTGGTCATCAGGCGGAAGTCGGCGGATCAAAGTCATTAAAGTAAGTTTAAAATATGAAGAAATATAAATTCATTAACTGCAACTGATTCGGATGCAGTTAAAATATTTGGCTATTGGAACCTTAGTGTGATAAATATTGCCGCTAAATGCGCTTGATCATACTTTAAGTTTGGCACTAGATTTTTATAAATAATCAGCATTTTCTAATTTATCGTTATTAGACTATTTGAAATACAGTGTGGTTTTTTAGTGCGAGAGAGTCCATTATTTCCGTTGGTGTTGAACTTTCGAAAAATAGTTTCATATAACAGTTGTTGACTCACAAAGTGCGCACACTTTAAAAAYATTTTAGATGAGACAGAGTGTATCAGAAAAGCGAGGMAAGATCAAAGTGTCTTTTTTTAAATAGAACTGCCCATTTTTCACTASTTCATGGAATGCAGCTTGAAACGCTTGAAAAGCTTGAAACGCTGCATATGCACCGTAAATTGTTTTTTTCTTACTTGCGACGTTGGCAGATTATRRCCATTTTAGTAAAATTGTGGTTAAAAATATGGTATCGAAAAATTCATTGTAGAAACACAAAAAAAGCATTTGAAGATACAAAAAAATACGTCTTTCCAATCAACACAGATCCGTTAAGAATTCTATTGAACCAAAATGTCGATTCAATGTACAATATTGAACAGATTGTCAACAATGTGGACTAAAATCTAAAACTTTTAACGCAATATAACTTTTGCTTTTCAAATGGGAGTACCTACCTGTATATTAATACGTCATTAGATAGACAATTTACAAAGTTACAAATTTGCATTTACACTTTAAGCTGTGAAATAAACTGTTTTCAAATTATAATTTATTTTATTTAAAAACTTCAAAAAGTTGTTCTGTTTTGTAAGGTGGCTATAGAATTAAATTATTAAGTGTCACAATTTGATGATCCTTTACATAATCAATGAAGAAAAGTGCACCGTTTTATAAAATTCATAAATTCATAGCAAAAAATACAATAAAACTGCATACGTCTATAAAAATAAAAATTCAAAATTGTAACTACAGTAATATTGAAAAATAAATGTTCAATATGATTTCCGTTTACATTTAAGCAACTGTTAATACGTTTTTCAAATGAATCGCTAACGGAGTTCAAAACAATATTATTAATATTTCGAAACACAGTCGTGGTTCGTTCCTTCATGTCATATTTTGTAGTTGGAGTTATTTTAAAAACTTCGTTTTTGACGTAACCCCATAAAAAAAAATCAATTTTTATTAAATCGGGTGAACGAGGTGGCCACTGAACAGGCCCACCTCTGCCTATCGTCGTCTCAGGAAATTCATTATTTAGGTACTCATGAATTTGAGCTGTATGGTGAACTGGAGCTCCATAGGTAAATACCACATTCTTTCCTTGATATAATTAGGTAAATGATCAATTAAACGTGGCAATTCATTTTGTAAATAATTAAAATAAATTCTTACAGTTCCTCTTCCATCAAAAAAGTAAGGCCCAATCGCATAATTTCCGATAATGTCACCCCAACTATTTAATGACCAACGGGTTTGACTATTTGTTCTTATAAAATAAGGCTTGGTATTTGCATAATAATGTAAATAATGACTATTAACCATTCCATTTTTATTAAAATTTGCTTCATAAGTAAATAATACATAGTTCATTCACAAAATCTAACTTTAGTTACATAGTCCTGATTGTTAAGATCCTGCATTAAATGGGTGTGATAGGGATGAATTTTACTTTTTACCAATATTTTTTGTATTGTAGACCCGCTGATTTTTTCGGCGGTTTCATTGGCAATTATTCTCTGGAAAGTATGAAGATTTTGAGTTACTTTTAATAAAATCGCCAATTAATTTTCTTGTGTTGAAGCCGTTTTTGGTATGCCCATTTTCTCATATTCAACATTTCCTGTTCGTATGAATCATTCCATTAACTTTTCAAACGCCTTTTTTGCGGTTGTCTCCTTTCAGGAGAATGTTGATAATAAAGTCGCGCAGCGAACGTACAGTTTTTACCACTAGCACCCAGTGTGAACACCATATTCACTAAATCTTCTTTAGAAAAATTCATATTTGTTTAAGAGCTTTTTAATAATGTGGATGACTTTTAAACTAGTCGTCATATACTATATGTATGTCGATATGTCAAGATCGATATGTCAAGAAACATCAAATTGTGACACTTATCTATTGATTTCCATGGCCACCTTCCAAAATGTAACAAGTTTTTAAATTTTTTTTAAATAAAATAAATTATAATTTGACAGCGGTTGATTTCAGAGCTTCAAGTAGAAATGCAAAAAACGTCGCAAGTAAGAAAAAAACAGTTTACGGTGCATATGCAGCGTTTCAAGCTGCATTCCATGAGCTAATGAAAAATAGGTAGTTCTATTTAAAAAAATACACTTTGACCTTGCCTCGCTTTTCTGAGACACTGTATCATATAAAGTGTTTTTAAAATGTGCGCACTTTGTGCGTCAACAACTTTTATATGAAACTGTTTTTCGAATGTTCAACACCAACGGATATAATGGACTCTCTCGCACTAAAAAACCACCCTGTATACTATTTTTTTGGTTTTTAACTGCGGTCCAATAGGAAACAAAAACAGTTCAGAAAAAGTTTTTCAAATATTTTTAAGGCAAGTGTCTTAAACAATACCATTGTAATAACTGAAAATTTTATTTGAAAAAATCTGCAATTGTTTGCGCCCATATTGGCCCCTACAGGCCACCGTCATTATTTAAGCATTACTTTTACATTACAGGCGACAGTTTTACTAATCTAATATTAAACGCCACTCGAAAAGGAAACAAAGCAGGCAAAAACCAAATAGAGAACAACGTAAACTAACGTTATCAAGTAATTTTATCCGAGTTCTCTGCGTAACTGTATGCCCTCTTGTTTGCTTTCGAAACTGTTTCACAGAAGCATTGCGCTGAACTCCGACATCTAAACCGTATTGCCAGCTTTATCTGGACAAAACTGTGCATCGCACATAATTATCAGCGAGATTTAAGTGGAGCTAATTGGCATTTTAGAGGTATGTTCTGTTGCAGATCAGTGGAACGATGATGAATACCGGACACAGTGTGATATTCACTGTGTACAATGACACGCACAGTCACATTAACGTTACTGGTGGTCCTCTATCGTATCGATATCAGTTCCAAGAGATTCACATTCACTATGGGCTTCACGATCAATTTGGAAGCGAGCACAGCATTAATGGATATGCTTTTCCGGCCGAGGTAAGTATCTGGGTTTGTTTCCAAATATTTATGTAACCAGTTGTGAAGTAAACGGGCTTCAGCTCAACAGTGAGGAATAGGAGAATAATTTTGGCCAAAATTGTACAACATGTGAAGAACTGGTCAACAAGGAGCGAGCAATCGAGATGGGCCAAGACAAGACCAGACAATAAGCGTTTCGCAACCGAGACCGTTTCATGATGATGATGATGAATCTATTCAGTTATAAGTTGTAAATTCTGCACAGACATCTTGAACAAGAAAAATCCTCTCCTCCGGCATAGTAAGCACGTTCGTTCAGCATCGTTCTGGAACACCGACAATTAAAAGCACTGAAAACAGGTATTATGATCGCATTTTTGGTTGAGCTGACCGTTAGCAGAAACAAAGTTTGGGTATTTCATCGAAATCAATTGATCAAATCCCCGTGAGACGTCCCGATAACGAAGTTATCGCCCTGTGCGAATCAGCAGCCGAATCGAATATGTCACAACGTTCGCAACAGACCAAGTAACCCAATTACCGTCCACCGATCGACAGTTATGGGGGCAAAGGTTTTTCTCCTGGTTTTGTTCTCCGATCAATTTGCCGTCAAAAAAGTTAAGCGCAAGCCTTTTCCTGTTATCAATCCAGCCTTCCATTACGCTCACTGAAAAACGCAAACTTTTCAACATTTCTCGATATCGAAATGGGTTTCCGATGTATCCGATTTTCCCTACAGTAAGAACATAAGGCATCCCTTCCGTGAAAGTAAGAAATTTAATAAAATTCTTCGCAAAGTTGCCGTATGTGTGAAATGATGTAGCGCTGAAAGTTTGCCAGTTTTTCGCCAGGCTTGTATCGGCTGGATGGGCGCCAGCGCTATTTGCTCAACATTGAAACTCATTCTTAAATTAGCCGGTCTTCTTCTAATTAAAGCCTCAGCTTAATGGCTGCTCGAGACTTCCCCGGCGGCGTTCGGTTTTACCTAAAAGTCAAAATTAGGGGAAGGAAATTAACAGTAATTCAGCTTGCCAGAAAGGGGGAAAGTTGCCGTTTTAACGCTTGCGGTTGCCGACTACTACAAACAGCATTTGTCGAGCAGAGCTGCACCAATTGTGTCAGGTCTAGTCGTGGTACGATTTATCGCTCCCTAGGGAGTGTTTATTGATTTGGTGATCAAGAGCCATCATTTATTCATTTCAAGAGCGAAACCATTAAGCTGGATTAAGCCATCAAGTGAATAACATCAATTTAAGTCATTTCGTCATCAAACTAAACACTCTTGTGCTGCCAAGAGCGCACAGTGTGAAAAAGTGTGGTTCTTGTTCGTAAACCTAATATTTCAACACTGGGGCAACACTTTTGGATGAAATTCGGCGCGAGTATGCCTGTCGTAGGTACTTCATGTGGAATAAGGGAAGAATATATGTAAGACCTAAAAATAATTTCCACAAACGGAAAAATCGAAAACTTAATTAGTTAGGGCTAGTGAGACTACTGCATACGAAAACCAAATTTTGCTTCTTAAAACGCATCTAATTAATTCAACTCCTATTTTAATCCCGAGAAATCCGACCACTGTTAGAGTATTGGAAATGTGCAAATGCAGCGGAAATATGTAAAGGTTTGAGACTAATTAATTTGAGCTTCTATTTATTATAATTTTCCCCAGAGGTTTCATTGCATGGAGAAATGCTATGATATCATGAGTAAAATTAAAGTATATTACAGCGTTGAATATATTAAAATTAATGTGTACATACCGCGAAAATTTCAGGCATTTCAACGGAATCTTTGTTTAACAGTTGTCGCTTTGGTTGACTCTAACGTAATGAAGTCAGTCAGGAACTAGCCTTTATTAAAATAATTAAAATTGTTTAGGATATTAATAGAGCTGCTCGGCAAATGATGGTGATTCAAGGTGGCAGTAAACGGAAAAGTAACTGACATTTAACGTTTCCCGCTAAATAAAACGGCAATATTTGAATAAACCCTGTTTTTGAAGGAAGAAAATGACGACTATTTGAGAAGAAAATAACTTCTTATTCTTCTTCTTCTTCTTCTTCTCCTTATCTCTTTCTTGGACGACCTACTTTGTCTTCCATTTGGCGACTTATCTGTAGCAATACAAACTATCCTCTCTCATACGATTTCTGTGTTGACTCCATTCTTGTTTTCTCTTCGATACCCAATCATTGATGCTTTCCGTTTTGCACATTTGTCTAATATTCTGCCTCCTTTCTCTTTTCATCAGTCTTCCCTGTGATTCTCCTTAGTATCTTCATCTCTCCTGTGTCTAGAAGTTATTTTGTTTTGAATGTGTTTGGTCTTGTTTATGCTATATCAGTAATGATGCGTCTTATTGCCGCTTTGTAAATCCTTGTTTTTGTTTCTTGTTTTAGGTCTTGATTACGCCAGATTATGCCATTTAGACATCCGGCCACTTTGCTGGCTTTAGCCACTTGTTCTTGTACTTCTTCTACGTTTCCATAACTTTCTATGCCCAGGTATTTGAACTTGTTTGTGTGTAACATTTCTTGTTTGATTACTTCTCCATTTACTTCAAGTTTACATCTCAGGGCTCTTTTGATGTCGCAATACATTTTGTTGTGTCTGATATTATCATGTTATATATTTTTGCTGTTGTGCAGTAATATCTGCAGATCGTTTTCATCTTCCGCAACTATTACGGCGTCGTCCGCGTAGCAGAGTATTTTTATTTCAGTAGCGCCCATATGATACCCGTTGCCAAGTCGTCCTTTTTTTATTATTTCATCCATCATAACATTGAAGAGCAACGGGCTCAGTGAATCTCCTTGCCTGATTCCACTATTAATTGGTATGTCAACTGTTAAATTTCCATTAATGCGGGCCTGAACTTTGGTGGCGTGGTAAATGTCTTGAATCATATTGATGGGAATGTCCCTTTTGTATAACAGATGTACTATATCAACTATTTTTACCCGACCGAATGTATTTTTCAGGTCAATAAAGCATAGAAAGGCCGGTTTATTATATTCTATGGATTTTTCTACTATCTGTCTCAGTACAAACACATGATATCCCAGATCTGAAACCCTGTTGTTCATCTGAGAGTGAAATAATAGAGTTAAGCTTATCAATAATAACCTTGGTCATTAATTTATGTGCAGTATCTAGCAAGTTTATGCCTCTATAGTTTGATGGTTCCTGTTTGTCTCCTTTTTCAAACATTAAAATTGTTGTACTTTTGTTATCTGTTAGGGATTCTGCATTGTGTTAGAATGTTCTGAATATGATTTTTTAGTATTTGTGTTAGTTTTCCGCCTCCGTATTTTAGTAATTCATTCTGGAGCCTGTCTTGTCCTGTGGATTTTCTGTTTTCTTTAATTATATCAAGGCTGTGTCAACTTCATTTATAGTAACTTCTACGTGTTGTCGTATACAGGGTGCCTCGAAATTAGGTGGCCAACCTGAAACAGTGAAATCTGCTCTCAAAAAGAATATTAATTTTTCAAATGAACTTGGAAACAAAAGGGAAAAATGCTTTCTAACGGATATACGCCTTCTTGAAGAGGGGCCAAGTAGTAGGGTTTTTCGCAAATTATTTCTAAACGGTTGAACTTCAAAACGAAAATTTTAGGAACGTTAGTAATTTTGCTATGCTGAATCTAGAGGTAAAATTTAAACTGTCATAATTTTATCTTAGACGTATCATTTGGGGGGGGGGAGAAATACAAAAAAGCTCTAACTTTTTTTTGAGACTATAAATGAATCTTTTTGTACAAATTGTGCACATCTGAAGTATTTTACGAAGGAAAGGTGCTCTTAATGTACTTCGTTCAGAAGCACCATTTTCCAACTAAATGACTTCAAAAATATCACTGCTGTCCATACACATCTTACCTTTTAAATAAATATTATTATCGACACTAATCTACTGGAGTAAATGTTCAAACAAATTTCAATTTTCTTGAATGAACATTATGGACCTTTTCTTAATATGTTGGGTGGCACGGAGAATTTCAAAAAGGGTTTGTTTTATTTGATTTCCAGCCGCGCAAATCCGCCTTAGAAGCCTCTCGTACAGGCTTACAGCTTCTGGCTACAGGTAATAATCCAAAGGATTTAGATCAGGCGATCGAGCTGGCCAGTTTAATGGGCCACCTCCACCTATTCACCTGCTCGGAAAATGTTCGTTTAGCCGAGAAGAACATTTCTAACCGAGTGCTTATAGGAGTATCCTCTAGTAATTCTTACAGCTCATGTTGTAGAAAATTTAAATAATTGTGGGTATTTAACCTACTTGGTAAAATGATCGGTCCTATCAAGATATCCCCTGTGACACCTGCCGATACATAGAATGAGAATCTATGTTGGAAGAACAACCGAACAACTCTCGGATTCTCGATGCTACAAAAATGAGTATTATGACTGCTGAATGTTTTGCCTATTGAAAAGGTTGCATCATCCTAACATGAAATACTTTTTAAATCATGTTGGTGGCTTAGAATCCAACGGAAAAATTCTGTACGTGCTGGAAAATCGTTGGCTCTTAAATCATGTACCCTTTACAATTCGAAAAGATGCAATTCTTGCATTTGAGTCATAAATTCCGATCTGAAAATATGATTTAAATTAAAACATGTGTTGTATGTATTCGTGCAATGTTTTTTATCATTTATCCTTTTTTTTAATTATCAAAAAAATTGTACGAAGATTTTCACTAGTTGTTTTTTTATACTCGGTAAAAGTAAAAATGCTCACAATGCTTAGATTTAGGGATATTGGTAATATTTTTATAAAACCGTGATATGTTTTAAGTTTTTTTATTTTATTTAAGATAACAAATTAGAGCTTTTTTGTACTTTCCTCCCCCCGCAAATTATACGCCTATGGTGAAATTCTGACAGTTTTAATTTCAGGTGTAGATTCAGCATATCAAAGTTACTAAAGTTCCTAAAACTTACGTTTTGAAGTTCAACCGTTTAGAAATAATTTGCAAAAAACCCTTGGAAGGACCCGTCTTCAAGGAGGCA